AAGGACTGCAAGGTAAGGAGACAGAAGGCATCCATTTGTAGGGTGATTATACTGCTAATATAAGTGACAATGCCTCCTGTGGTGAAACTAATGAAGCCTGCAGAGGGGGCACCCAACAGAAGCCTTGCACTCAAACAGACAATGGGCACTCTCATCTCCATTTGACAATACTCAGATTCCTCCAGAGACCTGAGCATTAAAAGTATGTTGGGATCCAGGCGACTTGCTGCAGAACTACGCTACATCATCAGTTCTAGGGCCTTCTGAAGCACTTCAACTGCAAGGGCTGCCCTCGTCCTTCCCACATCTCAAGTGGAATTTGAAGTGCTTCACATGAATGCTGTCCATGTGGACAGGTTCTGGACCCCTACCAAATAATTCAACATGATATACTTGGAAGTAGTCAAATATAGTAGACTTAGATAGTTTACTTACACGACATTACTGCAATTGGAATACTCATTCAACTTGTGTTCTGGAATAACAATCTCTTCCTATTTTTTTAAGCAGAAATGTGCTCTGGTTAGGTGATGCCTAGATTATGTAGAAAAGGTTAGAAGGAAATATATTTCCATTTCCTTCTGGAGACATACTGAAACAGGTGAGGCTGGGTGAACACAAAGCTGATAGAACAGGCTGTCACAAATGAGAAAATAATAGTATGAGATGGTTTTGTTCCCCTAACCCACATGCCATTATCAGCTCCTGAAACCATGTACCTCAAGGTAAGTACACCTTCTTGATCTGTACAGCTCCTTGGCAAGGCTTAAACACCACTAGTTTAGTGAATCCATATTTTATACAGAAATTTTCAACAGGCTGGATGCCAGTCATACTCTCTTCAAAACTTCTTTACCATTAAGTGCCTGCACATGGTGTACTCAATGCCAATTAAAAGCCTGTCCTATGTGCGCAAGTAGATATCTGATTTACACCAGTAACATATTTCAGATACAAATATTGCATGTTCCTGAAACCTTCAGTTAGTTATCATGTTTCTTGCCAGCCTCCACTGGCTAGAAAGGAAATAGATTAGGGAGTAGCAACACAGCTACCATGTGGGATGGTGGCAGAGTAACAAAGATGTACTCCAACTATATAGGCCTGAGGCCAAGCCTTAGCTTGGCCTTGTGCTGATGGCTGTTCCAATCAATCTAGCTGTGGGTGGTTACTGGGTCACCAGGCTGGGAAACCAAAGGCATCTGGATGTGATGGTACATCATTTCTTCATGTGCTTTTTTGGCTACAGAAAGTAGCATGCCTGAAATGTGCTAGCTTGATGAGCCAAGTAGGCTTGGGATGGATGCTGGGAACATAGTTATCAGACAGCTCAACTGGTACACAGTTCCAGTTGGCTATCATTCAATGGAACACCTAGTTAGGCTTTACATCCTGTAAATAGCAATCATGCGTTTAATAGGTTGATCAATAAGTGCTGCATGTGGGTTTATTGACACTTAAGCCAAATAAAAACTGCTGCCATTTACCTTCTCAAGGCCACGCATCTCTGCTCTGGAGTCCTATCCATCTGCCTCTTGGCATTCAGGGTTTAGCTCAGCAGTGCTACACAAGTTACTTCCCTCCTGAAGACAAATGCACAAAACCCTTTTTTATTTTCTTATTTGTAGCCAAGCCTCCTGCTGGGTGACAAAGGCTGCTTCTAGTCTGCAGCTTCCTGTGAAGAATCCCCAAAGTGTGCTGTTTTTTTTTTTTCTCTCTCTCTCTCACTCTTGCTCAGTCTATGTTGTTTCTTAAGGGCCAAAAGTATGCATTACAAAAAGGGAAAGAAAAAAAATTAAAGATCAATGCTTGCTCTCCCTGCAGTGCCTGCCTCAGCAGAGAAATGAATATGAAGATCACTATAAATAAAAGATAAAAGATGATATGGCATTTGGAGTAAAATATTAACGCTAGGCACAATGTGATGTATCAAAGTCTAACCAAATTAACCCCCTGGGATAAACCAGGGTCTTGTTTATGTTGCATTTGAAAAATAGACCTGTGGAAAAACATATATGGGTTGCATATATATGTCTGTGTATCTATATCTATATCTGTCTGTGTATGTGTGTGTGTGTGTGTGTGTAATGCAACACATACAAACCCTTCCCTCCCACCCTAAGGAAGAGAGAGAGAGAGAGAGAGAGAGAGAAAGCATTTGTGTCTATGCATGTGGGTTTATCTATATGGATCAACATTTACAATGTTATATCACTATATATGGTGCATATCCATAGACCTGCATATAAATGTTCATGCACATGTGTACAGTCATCCACACAAATTATCAATAAGCCATGCTGGGCTCAGGGACGGGCTCTGTTCTTCCCACTTCTTGGCCCTGTTCAAATGTCACCTGCAAGTGGGTTCCCCTCTGATCTGCACATGCAAAATAATCACTCTTCATTCTTCTCAGAGCTGCTTATTATCTGCTTGGCAGGTAAAGCAGCCAAGAGTTACTTTTTAAAAAAAAATCAAAGACTTACCAAGAAAAATATGCTTTCCATTAGGATTTACACCAAGCATTTTCCTAATTTACCTTCATTAGATTAATGTTGGTATGTTGGTGTAAACCCTTGGTAAAAGACATTGTATATTTATCCAAGAATATGTAATGTAATATATTGTGGCAGAGTACCTTCAGTGCCTACCACTTTAAGGTTTGAAAGCAGGCATCAAGGCAGCCTGCAGGTGTGGGCTAGACTTAATCAGGGTCACATGACCCCAGAAGGGCCCTGGGATTGGAGGAGGGGGTGGAGCAGCCTCCATTTTAACCCAGGCCCTCAGAGCTGGGACAACAGGTTGCTGCTAGAAGCTGAGGAGGCAATATCTGGCTGAGGTGCTGCTTGGAACATCTTGGTGGTAAGGGCAGGAGCTATGGGGATGGCAGGAGACTCCTGGTCCTGGGCATGACTGAAAATTGCACCTTGCCAGGGAAGGGTGGTTTTGTGGGGCTGTCCACGGCAGGACTGTCTCCCAGAAATGCCAAGTCAGTTACCTCCCTGGTAAAAGGTGAGTAGGGGTGCCTTAAAACCCCAGCCTCTACATCCTGATGGCTTACCCCTTGGTAGGGACAAACATGGGGCCAGGCATAACCTAGAGAGAGGCATTTGAGCCCATAGGGTGAAAGAACCCAATGCTAGGTGGCCCAGGCATGCTTAGGAGAAGCACGTGAGCCCCATATGATGAAAGACCCCAGTGGCTCAGTGAGGGGGCAGAGAGAGTGCAGCCCCAGTGAGGGGGAAAAAGTATGTGGAGGCCTGCATATAATAGAGTATGCAATGGTGACCCAAAGTGCTGTGTGTGAGAGGGGCCAGTAGATGAGTTCAGCCCGGAGTATGGCATAAGGCTGTAGGTCACATAGAGTAAGGTCTGTGAGAGGACTGCCTAAAGTGCTGTGTACACCCTGGATGGAGAGTGAGTAGGGAAGCCTGAAGTGCCACATAGAGTAGGCCCGAGGGAGACTTGAAGTGCTGTGTGGAGTAAGGGAGGTTGAGAGTGGCCCAGGAAGTGGGCAATACGTGAGAGGCCTGGTGACAGCAGGGTGGAGTCCCTGTGAGAGAGGGTGGCATGAGTGAGGGCTTCTAAAGGGTGGTATGCTAGGATGAATGTTAGAGGCCCTATAAGGGGTAGTATTTGGCCTGGCCTTAGGCTGGACCTATTCATCAACTTAGATTGTTATCTGCGAGGCATGGGACATAAGTGGAGGTTGGAGTCATGTATAACAACGTTGTCACCATGGTGAGCAAAGGGCAGCCTCCTGCCTTAGTGACATCTCTCATAATTATTACCATCAAGGCATGGCAGACGAGGAAGGAGGGTGGTTAGCCCAGAGACAGACTGGCAGGCCAACACTGTGACCCAGCCCTGGGATGGCCCCATGTCACATATATGTAATTTAAATTCTTAAAAGCATAGTCTTCAAAACTGCCCTCTATGGTGCATAAAGGAAACAGAAACTGAGCCATGTAGATTCTGTAGCAACTCAGCTGCCTGGGTCTTAATGGTTTTGGAGTGGTTTTTTTGAGAACAAGCTAATAACACTAAAGAGTACCTCATACTGGTTAGAAGACCTGGTTGAACTGGTTGAACTAACATGCCAGGAGAGTGCTTTTCTGGACAGAAGTGTACTTCTGGGCTCCTGGCTATGTTAGTTATTAAAGAAGCTGATTCAGTTCTCCTTTCCAAATATTTGCAGTTTACTATTGTTATGAACTAGACCTTTTTCATACAACAGACCATATACATGCCTGCCCACTCTGATTGGTGTAAGCACATTGACTTCATCGGTTTACTGCTGATTAGTACTGGTGTGTGTATATATATGTATATATGAATGGCTTCAGGCCATATATGAAGTAGGAAATGAAAAATAAAGAGATGGATGCTGTAGAACCGGGTTTGCAACTGGTTTAAACTGGCATGACCCCACTACATCTCTGGAGCGATTTTGATTTATACCAACTGAGGGGGATAGTCTAAGATGTACCCCAGTCTAGGCAACATCCCCTAACCATCATTTCTTGTCAGCTTTGTATAACCCATTGTTTCTTGCTGGCTAGGCTGCATTATTACCTTCACAGGTCAAGAAAGTCATAACAGAATCACATTTTGTATCTTAGTTTCTTGCTGCTTTTTTTTGGCAATTTGAAAAGAATAAAAGGTTAACAAAGTTAAATACCTTGGCACACTCACAATGCCGGGGTGTGACTTCTGATGTTAAGGTATCAGTGGTGTTGAAATAAAGCACTTAAAGAGATGGAAGACAGGCCATGCAAGACCAAAAGTTCATATTAACAGCAGTACTTAGTGTATGAAGCACAGCAAGTGACATGCTGTTATTGGGAGCTCTCACTATAATTGTTTGGATGGCATCAAGATCTTTTAGATGATTTAGTGTTAAAGAAGAAAAAAAAATAACTTCTGTTCTTAGCCATAAACTTCTCCACCACAGGTTGACCAGAAGTTATTAACATAAATAAACCAACAAAATATTTCTTGTTTTCATTCTTACTTTACTACCTAACCAATCAGAGGAGTTCTGTAAAACTGTTAAGTTGCACATGCATATGACCACACACTGTGGGAAAACTTAACAGAGGAGGCCAGTGGAGCTGAAGGAGAAAAATAAAACTCTTCTGTGTGGGTCTTTTACTGAGAGTTCCTCATATCACACACTCAGGAAGTATTTATACTAACACAAAAGAAGCATGGAGTTTTGCTCCTCGATGCCATTGGTCTTGCAGTGACTATAAGGAGGATCTGCACAGCATCACCTTTTCTAGGACTCCCATTTTTCTTCAGGTCCTCCACTGTGTCTCTCTTTCCTATCTAGTTTCTGGCCAGTATGGCTTTGAAAAGAATAGTGTCAGGATCATGTCATCTGTTCAGTGGTCTTTTGCCAGCTCCTAAAAGGAAAGAATCAAGTTATACAGAAAAGTTAATGTAAGCAGCAGAGAGAGAATGTTGGTGTACTAGAGAGACAAGAGAGTAAAGACCAGATGTTGCACTACCATAGGGTACATACAGGTATTATATTTAGATCAGTCTAAATGGACTTGGTTTAATCTAAGCCTGTAATTGTGCAAGCATTCACAGGGTCTAGGTCAGGCTAAAAACGGTGCATGTGACCTAAACTTAGGTCATGTCCAAGATATGCTAAGTCTAAATCAATATGAGGTAGACTATTTCACTGTCCTCTGGCATCCCAGCATGCGTTGCAGGCCCTGTTTCCCCCTCTCCTGATCTAAGACTTCTTCCACAGGGAGGTGCACTGGCACTTGGCCTGCATTCGGCTGCTTCAGCTGAGTACTCAGCAAACCCTGGCCCTGAGGCTGTCTCAGGGCTATAGAACCCCAACCCCTCTCCCCAGTTCTGCCTCAAGCTGCATGGCACAGACAAGGGGCAGGGTGGGGTCGACACCAATGTAGCAGTGCACCTCACATTCCCCAAGTATAGATTCATATATGTTAGGGTTGGAAGGGACCTCAGCAGATCATCGAGTCCGAGCCCCTGCATAGGCAGGAAAGAGTGCTGGGTTCAGATGACCCCATCGAGATGCCCATCCAACCTCCCCTTGAAGACCCCCAGGGTAGGGGAGAGCACCACCCCCCTTGGGAGCCCATTCCAGACCTTGGCCACTAACTGTGAAGAAGTTCCTCCTAATGTCCAGTCTAAATCTGGTCTCTGCTAGCTTATGGCCATTATTTCTTGTGACCCCCAGGGGCATCTTGGTGAGTAGAGCCTCACCAATTCCCTTCTGTTCTCCCATGATGAATTTATAGGCAGCCATAAGGTCACCTCTCAACCTTCTCTTGCGGAGGCTGAAGAGGTCCAGGTGCCCTAGTCTCTCCTCGTAGGGCTTGGCCTGCAAGCCTTTAACCATATGAGTGGCTGACCCTCTCCAGGTTATCCACATCCCTCTTGAAGTGTGACGCCCAAAACTCCACGCAGTATTCCAACTGCAGTCTGGCCAGTGCCCGATAGAGGGGAAGTATCACCTCCTTGGTTCTGTTTGTCATGCATCTGCTGATGCATGATAAAGTGCAGTTAGCTTTTCTGATGACTTCGTCACGCTGATGACTCATGTTCATCTTGGAGTCCACTAGGACTCCAAGATCCCTTTCCGCTTCCATGCTACCGAGGCAGTAGGTGTGCTGGACATTTTTCCTCCCTAGGTGCAGCACTTTGCATTTCTGCTTGTTAAATTGCATTCTATTGTTTTCTGCCCATTTGGGCTGTGCTCCCATACCCTTGGGCTGTGCTCCCATATCCCCAAGACATGTCATGAAGTACTCACCCTCAAGACCTACACACAGACCCAAACAGGGAGGTTAAGAGAACCCCAAGACTCAGGTGCAACCCCAGACCCCAACACTCACATACTGAGTCAGAAACCCGAAGCTCCAGGACTTGGGCACAGCTGCACACCCTGACACTCATGCACAAAACCAGACATCCCAAACCCAAGGACATGGACACTGCTGCACAGAATGCCCCCCACCCCTCCACACACATGCACATTCCAAAGGTCAGACCCAGGCACCCTAAAAGCCAGACCTTTGCATGGACCCACCTGCCACAAATGAAAGCTGATATGAGAGGTTTAGCTCTAGTGGGTGGTGCAGTGGGGTGAGGTGGGTTGGAGGCAGCCCCTCAGGACTGGACCAACATGGAGGAAACTCTGTCAGCTCTGGGACTTGGCAAATGTTGGCATTTACCTGGGCTGTGTCAATAAAGGGTGCTGGTGGAACATTTCTGCTGGCAGGTAGATATCCCTGGAGAGCACCTGTGCCTGGTAGGGGCGCGCGCACACACACACACACACATAACTACAACATACAGATTGTAATGTATACACAGTATATATTTAAGTATACTCCAAACCGTATGAGTTTTGACTATTTTTATTTCCTATTTAGCTCTTGGCCCTAACTATCATACACACTGTCTTAGTCATTAAGGGATTAGGGATGGCATTTGCTCTTCATCATACAATATTTCAGCTGGTGTTAATCATTGTAATCTAATTTACACAAAGGGATGAAGGCAGGAGATCAATGTACCTGTGATCTCAGAACTCTGCAGGTGGAACCCAGAGATTTGAAAAAAAGGAACCGAAGGATAATATCATGACTAGAAAACAAGCGGTGAAGATGTCAGGCATTGATATATAGGATCTTTTAGGATAGCAGCAGATATACAGATAAGGCATGCTTGTAGTCCCAGCACTTAAATAGTCGGGTGCATGACTAATTGAGATAAAAAGAGATACAGCAGAAGTATCAGGAAGCACTGGTACAATTCTGGCACAGATGGGTATCAAGTGTCCAGAAACGAGGGATCAGTGCTGGAAGAATACCATTCTGGCCCATAGGGATACCTCAGTATCTGACAGCAAGAGAGTTGGGCTGGGGTCAATAGGTTTTGAGAGGATTGAACACTAACTGCTCAAAAAAATTGATGTCTTTTATATGAACTCCATTGCAAGAGCCCTCATCTCTGTCTCCACCCCGCCACCCCCTTGTACTTAAGAACAGATACATAAGTTTCTGTTTATCTTGGGAAGGGAACCACAGTTAAAATATGCTTGAAGTGAATCTAAACGAGTGACGTTGACTGTCTGTTGATGCACAACTGCAAAGCTAAGGAAAGAATCACAGAACTAATTATGAGTGGTTGGAGGGTATGAGGACTCCAGAGGGAGAAGAATGGGGACGGAGGCAATCAGCACAGCACCGTAAGACTGAACTGGATAAAAAAAGAAAGGAATGGCTGGAGACTCAAGGAAAGGCAGAACTGTGAACCTTCAAAGAAACATAAAAATCAGTTTTAAATGGGGTTGGTCTTCTTCCCCTTTCTGGGGAAAAAGAAATTAGGGATGAGGTGGAAAAAGAAACATGGAAGAGCCAAAACATAGGGAAATTTAAACCTGAAGAATGTCTGAAATAGGGAAATGGAGGAGGAACCTTGAGGCTAGGGAAAGAAGAGGAAGCTGTCTGCTGGGATCATTTGGGTGGAAGTGGTTATCAGAGGGCCTTGAAATTCTGGAAGCAGCTCCAAAAGGGTGGAGCATCTATGATCTAGAACAAGTGATGTTGAGAATGACTCTGAAGAAGAACTTTTAACTCTAGAGCAGGAAAGGAGCTCATTGGCTCTGTGAGGGATTGCTTTGGAATACAATAAAAGAAATTCCTAAGTGCAGGTCTGTTTCCTCCATGGTGTACCAGGTAGTAAGATACTCTTTGTCATGCAGAAGCAGTGCTTTGTGTGTGTGTGTGTGTGTGTGTGTGTGTGTGTGTGCGCGTGTGTGCGTGTGCGCGCACTTGTATGTACCTGTGTGCGCACATGTGCATTGCATGCATGCACGTGTATGTGCACACATTGATACAGTTTTTTGGTACGTGCAAAGAAAAGGGGAGTAGAGACTATTTCCAAGTGTGTTTTGAAGTAATTTGCTTTGGGATCCTGAAGTATGCGCAGGGGAGGGAGGGTGTATGAGCATAACAAATAGGCAAGCAATTATGCAATGCAAAAAAAACCCAACCCCCAAAAACAACCCAGTACATAATATATGACCCTACCACAGACCACACAGTGTTTGATGAATTATAGACAATGAGAATTTATGCAGAAGAGATGTGCTGTATATATTTTCATATAAATTCCAAGAATATATTGCCATGACATAACCATTATTTTTATGGATAACACTGGAAATGGGTATAGTTATTAGACTTGGTCCTACAGACTAGGGAAAAAATAAAAACAATTTTACAAGTTTTTTTTCTCCCCATTTCAAACCCATTTATCTTGCCCACTTTTAACAGCATTCTTTTTGTTCTCTTTTCCATTGTTATCTGGCACTTCCTGGTCTATGGCTCCTATTAGATTCAGTTTTCATTTGTATTGATGGGACTTGGGTATTTATAACTCTGTCTTAGGTGTATAAAGGATCCTTGTTTCTATAGATAAATGGTTCTTGTTTCTTCATGTTCCTTAAAATGCTTATTCTCACAAGACACCTGCGTGTTGAAAAGTGATGGTATCCCCATTTTAGAGATAGGCTCTGAGGTCCTGAGGCCCTGCTTCATAAAGGCACATGGACAACTATCTGCCTCTTCAGGCACCTTGGATATTTTCAAAGCCCCTATTGAACTTCCCCTCCACTCACGCACACAGTCAGCCCCCTAAGCTTGTGCTTGTTGGCATTTGCAGAGCTGTACAGAGTTTTGGCAGAGCCCTAGAGAGGGTTCACACACTGTGGAAAGGAATATCTAGTTCACCAGTGGGACCTTTTCTTGTAAGGCTTGAACACCAGCTAACACTGTAAGGCTCAAACTGTGGCTAACATCTACCTTCCAGCTGCAGAGATAACCCACACTTGGTGGACAGATAGAAGAGTGTCTACACAAAAACCTGCTGGGGAAACACAAGAAAACACAGAGGAGCAGAGGGAAATACAGGGAAACAGAGGAAGTGTGAACGAAATACTGAGCATAATTAGAATTCACGGAGCCAGGGGCAGATCCAGGATTTCCCAAGGAGGGGTGCAGGGCTGGCTGCACCCCTCTGCTCCCAGCCATTTCCCCCCAACACCAATGCAGGCACTGTGGGAGCCTCCAGGAACATTTTAAGTCCCTAAAGCAGATTAAAAATTGCCCTTCTTTCCCCTTTGTGCTCAGAGGCACATCTCCTACCTCGCCTTCTCTGCTTCTTTCACCTGCCATTTTCCCAAGAAAAGTTCCAAACCTACTTTTGCCCACCCCAGACAGGCTGCCTGAGGGCTGGGCTCAGCTAGTGATGGGGATGGAGACCAGGGCAGCAGCAGCAGGACTCCCTCACCTTCCCACTCCTGCTTCCAGGGGACAAGGCAGGGTGGGAATCAACTCTCCTACCATGTGTTCTT